CTATATTTTATTTAGATATATGAAAATTCTATATTTTTTTTTTATAGAAATATGAAAATCTGCTATATTTTTTTTTTTATATAGAAATATGAAAAATCAGCTATATTTTCTTTTTATATAGAAATATGAAAATCTGCTATATTTTCTTTTCTTATATAGAAATATGAAAATCTGCTATAAATAGAAATATGAAAATCAATATATTTTTTTTTATATAGAAATATGAAAATCTGCTATATTTTTTTTCTTATATAGAAATATGAAAATCTGCTATATTTTCTTTTTTTATAGAAATATGAAAATCTGCTATATTTTCTTTTAGAAATATGAAAATATGAAAATCTAAATATGAAAATTTTCATTTTTTCTTATATAGAAATATGAAAATCTGCTATATTTTCTTTTTCTTATTAGAAATATGAAAATCTGCTATATTTCTTTTTCTTAGAAATATGAAAATCTGCTATATTTTCTTTTCTTATATAGAAATATGAAAATCTGCTATATTTTCTTTTCTTATATAGAAATATGAAAATCTGCTATATTTTCTTTTCTTTTCTTATATAGAAATATGAAAATCTGCTATATTTTCTTTTCTTGTATAGAAATATGAAAATCTGCTATATTTTTTCTTATATGAAAATCTGCTATATTTTTTCTTATATGAAAATCTGCTATATTTTTTCTTATATGAAAATCTGCTATATTTTTAGAAATATTGCTATATTTTCTTTTCCTATTCAGAAATATGAAAATCTGCTATATTTTCTTTTCCTATTCAGAAATATGAAAATCTGCTATATTTTCTTTTATAGAAATATGAAAATCTACTATATTTTCTTTTCTTATATAGAAATATGAAAATCTGCTATATTTTCTTTTCTTATATAGAAATATGAAAATCTGCTATATTTTCTTTTATAGAAATATGAAAATCTGCTATATTTTCTTTTCTTATACAGAAATATGAAAATCTGCTATATTTTCTTTTATAGAAATATGAAAATCTACTATATTTTCTTTTCTTTTATAGAAATATGAAAATCTGCCATATTTTCTTCTTTTATAGAAATATGAAAATCTGCTATATTTTCTTTTCTTCTATAGAAATATGAAAATCTGCTAAATTTTTTTTTCTTTTCTATAGAAATATGAAAATCTGCTATATTTTCTTTTATTTTGAAATATGAAAATCTGCTATATTTTCTTTTCTTATTTCGAAATATGAAAATCTGCTATATTTTCTTTTCTTATAGAAATATGAAAATCTGTTATATTTTCTTTTTTTATTAGAAATATGAAAAATTTTCTTGTATTTATATTTTCTTTTTTTGAAATCTTTATTTTCTTTGTATAGAAATATGAAAATCTGCTATATTTTCTTTTCTTGTATAGAAATATGAAAATCTGCTATATTTTCTTTTCTTGTATAGAAATATGAAAATCTGCTATATTTTCTTTTCTTGTATAGAAATATGAAAATCTGCTATATTTTCTTTTCTTGTATAGAAATATGATATTTTCTTTTTCTTATATTTTCTTTTTCTTGTATAGAAAATGAAAAAAATTTTCTTTTCTATATAAATATGAAAATTTTCTTTTCTTATATAGAAATATGAAAATCTGCTATATTTTCTTTTCTTGTATAGAAATATGAAAATCTGCTATATTTTCTTTTCTTGTATAGAAATATGAAAATCTGCTCTATTTTCTTTTCTTGTATAGAAATATGAAAATCTGCTATATTTTCTTTTCTTATATAGAAATATGAAAATCTGTTATATTTTCTTTTATAGAAATATGAAAATCTACTATATTTTCTTTTCTTATATAGAAATATGAAAATCTGATATATTTTCTTTTATAGAAATATGAAAATCTGCTATATTTTCTTTTCCTATTCAGAAATATGAAAATCTGCTATATTTTCTTTTCTTATATAGAAATATGAAAATCTACTATGTTTTTTGGATATTCACATTTTTATATACAAATATGAAAATCAGCAATATTTTATTCAGATTTTGTTTTGTTTAAAAATATGAAAATCAACTATATTTTCTAAGATTTTGACTTTCTTTTATAGATATTTGAAAATCAGCTATATTTCATTTTGACTTTTTTATATAGAAATATACATAAACATATATATTTCATACGTTGAAGGTGGACGTAGGAAAGGACACCAACGCAAAAACTGGTTGAGCAATGTCAAACAATTGACAAGTATGACTGTACCAGAATTGCTGATGGCTGCTGTTGATTGACTGTTGCGGTGGAGATTCAGTATTGCTTCTGCATTCAGATCCCGCCTACGAAGTCAAGGGGATGATTATTATGATGATGATGAAAATCAACAACAATTTATGCATCTTTTGTCATTTTTTATAAAGAAATATGAAAATCAGCAATATTTTATGTATATTTTGATTTTTTTATATACACACGATCTTCCAATTTGTACAGCATTTGTGTTTTCTGATGTTTTGGTGGAAGCATTGCATCAATTTCTTTTATCCTGAATTGGTAACAACAGATCATCTTAGTGGGTGCAATAATTAATGAGGTGTCTGTTGTGCCTTGGTGGGATATTATAACAGGAGATCATATCCATGATCAGGCATTGCTTTTTCCCAGCAATTCTTTTAATGCTCAAATGTCATCTTACAATTATATCATTGCCTTCATAAATGTATGTACATTGAAAGCAGATTTGCACATCCAACTCTTTCTAAAAATTCTACTAGTGGCCAACACTTGCAAAAAGAGTCTGTAAATAGTGGAATTCAGTTGAGGTTGCCAAATTGCAAAGTGGCTAGAGCCACAGACAATCAGTATTAAGTAGTGTCTTCCATTATAGTAGGTAATATCCATTCTCAATCAATTCCCTGCATCAATCACATTCAGTTTGCTTTGTGGTTAGGTTGACTACTGTTTTGACATCAGTTTTTGAAAGCACAGGATGAATTTACTTTATGATGTATAATGTACACTTGATACCAGATCAATGTACAGTCTTCATTAGGTCAGGACTGGGTGCAGCTACTGATGTGGTGCAGGTAGGTTCTACTCTTCTTAATGTATATAGCTATTTTTGTGAGACTCTTGTCAGTTTGCCCACCTGGTTTATGGTCTGATCTGATCAATGTCACACCCATAGACAATCCATACATGAACTAACTTTTTAAGAGTACTAAGTCATCTTCAGATGAACATTTCACTCACAATATTTGCATGTAGTCTGGCTTTTCTTTACATGAGTGTGTGAAATACCCACCTATGGACACATACATAGTCCATAAGCAGATGCATTTTGTGTGTGACCCACTGGAGGATTAGGTAGACTCGTTTTAGCATGACACCAAACTCTGTCAAGTTGATGTGCTGTGCATCCTTTACTGAACACAATCAATGAGATTCCAATGGCAAGGGAGCTCATATCAATCCACACATTCAATGTGTGTCTGCCTACACATCACTTGCTGCATGCAGGGTCATTGTGATTACATTGTGATAAGTTCTCTGGTGTGTGACCATTTGTCCATTTTCAGATTGCAGTCCAGATCTTTGCATGTATCAAGTTCAGCTCTAAAGTCTGGTTTGACAATTTTAATGGCTGCACATATCAGCATACAGCCTTGCCTGAGTCGGTTATGTAAACTCCACCCAATTTCCTAATGATATCCATCCTCAGGATCAGGGCAAACCCCAGCAATTTATTGTCCACAAGTAGGAATATGAAGAACGGAGTTCATGCAATCTACCTTCAGATCCACAGTACCAATTCCTCGACTATTAAGGACTTATTCAGTGGCCATCAGCACATTCACATTCTCTTTGTTCCAAGCAAGACATTGTGTTATTCATGGGGGAGTAGAAACAACCTGAATTTACCAATGCCATACATGACTTCCCATTTATGTTCACTTTCATCACCAGGAACACCTCATTTATTTCTTTTGTGGAGAAGAGATCAATGTTTACAGCTTGTCCCCTAACACATTTCCTAGAAACTGCACAGCAAAATGATCTATTTCTTGGCATTGAAAACACCGTACTTCTTGGCACGCCTTTCCTACACAGCTGGTGGGTATCCCTGCAAGTTGATACTGGAAATACCTGGTATAATGATTAGCAGCTAATGTTGACAGGAACACATAGTGGAGAGCATAGGAACATCGGTTTCAACTGTATGTGTCATTGCTGTGACTGGTTCTTCAATTGTCATTTCATCCTTCATAACCCCACAGGCCCTAGCCAGTAGTTGACAGTTATGTCATCCATCATTGATGACACCTCCAGTGTCTGCTTCATATGACTGCAGTCCCATCACAAAAGTACATGCCAGACCCTGTTTTAATATTTTCCCAAATAACACGGCAATGCTTTTGCAATTTTGCAAGAAGTACATCAACAAAATGCTGGTGACAGTCTATAAACTGATTGTAGGTCATAAACATGCAGCTTGTTGGGCGTGCTTTGTATTGCATCTCCTTGCTAAGCTTCTGACACACAGCTTAGCCCCCGACTCCTGCTGCTCAGCTGCAGTGGGAGAATCTTTTGATCCTGCACAATCTTATAATATCAATGTAAAATCTGATAAGCAATGAAAACAAGTTTTTGTGGCATCTTTGTAGAAAAATGTACAAATCCCTTGTAGTACTCAAGAATCATTCAATTTTAACATTAACAATTCAAATTTATTTTTAATTTGTAGTATAATATTTCAGTTTTACAAATTATTTTATTTTGTATATAATTTAAACAAATAAATGTATTTTGTGATACACATGTATAATTTAGTATAAAATTGGTATAACAATGTAAAAGTTCCTCAGATGGCTTCTTGTTATAAGGCTCCATTTATTAGGAAATTTTAGTTGTTAAAGTTAATTATTCTTGAGCATTTGGTTTCCATATATGATATTAAAATTTCATTATTCATAGTATCTGTTGACAACAATAATTATCTTTTACAATTACCAGAAGAACAATGTCAACTATAACACTATTAACATCAACAGGGGCAACAAGAGTTTAGATTCCAATCTCAACCATTTCCATGTTAATGCTACTGACATGAGATCTTCATATTTGATTCTGTTGGACTGTAATGATATAGCTAAAATGAAAAAGAAATATGCAAATTCTAAAGACAATATTCAACAAATATGGTGAAGGAATGCCAAAGAAAATATTAGCCAAAACAAAAATGAAGATCATCAGCTTACCTTTATTGGGAATTGTGGAATCATTATTGCAATTGCTCATTAAACTTTCATGTCTCTCCAACAGGTTATTATATTCTTTCTTCAACCGAATGTGTTCATCATACAATAGGTCATATGTAATCTTCAGACTACAATAAATAATGAAAATATTAATGCAAAGATTTAATTGTTTTTCCTTGTGAATTATTAATTTTCATAACCCAAGAAGATTTTGGTTAAAATTAAAATAGTATTTAACAGTATTAGTAAAATCCTATTTGCCAGCTATTTGACTATAATGAAAACATTTGTTCTATAAGGAGGTGCTGAAAGGTACTATACCATTACAAGTTCAAAATGAGAATTTCCAAATTTTTTCCGTATGTTGAATGATATTGATATTTTGCAAATTTTAAATAAATTGGGTCTGATCTACCTGCTTAGCACATTTATTATTTTTTTAGTGAATAGCATTCACTTGTGCACAATGTCATTATATATTTATTTAGGTTTAAATTTTAATCAAGGCGTTTCAAAGTTGTTGAACACTACTCTATAAAGTCAAGTAATACATTGCCAATTGAAAAAGATATACTCATTCAATTCATCACCTATGATGAGCCAAAAGACATACATAAGAAAATTCCGAAGCCCATGAAAAGAAAAGGCAATTTTTGGCAGTCTACTTTGGGTTTTCTTATTTTGAACTTGTAATAGCATAGACGCTCTTCTCAAATAATTCTAATAGGCTGATAAATGGAAAATGTATTAAATAAACTTTTAACAAATGTAATTTTGAAATTTTCAATATTAACCAAAATATATGTTAAAACAAAATCATAATTATGAGCATACACCAATTTTTAAGAATTTATTAATTTCAGTCAAGGTCAAAAGAAAAAAATATTAAAATTTCTGTCTGATGGAAACTTACCCCTTTTGTTCATCTGTAGAGATTTCAGTTTCTTTAGAAAAAGCTTCTTTCAGCTCTTCATTTTCCTACCAAAAAATAAAAACATCAGTTTTTGAAATCAGTGAAAGAAATTATTTTTGCTAATTTAACTCAAAGAAAACAGGTTTTATTGATATTATACTAATGGTTTGGAAGTTACTAAATTTTTTTCAATGTCTTCATTTTTTAGTTAATCAATATTATAAATTTGCCCAACCATTATATAGAGTAATCAACAAATTACATGCCTATACAGAGACTTTCAGGTCTCTGTATAGGCATGTAATTTAGTGTAGTAATTTTAGTCAAGTATTTAGTTTTTTCTGCATCTGAAGTTAAATGATTTTTTCTTTGAAGAAATGCTTAAACAGTAAAACTGAAATGAATCTATTAGACAGTGTTTATAAAATGACTCTTTGAAATTCTTAGTCTGTAAATAAAATCAAAGAGTAATTACAATAATGACGTGATGGAAAAGAGTTAGTGTAAAGGTACCATAACATGACTTCCTATATAGGTTAAATGTATGGATTTGATTTCAGCGTTTTATAGTAAACAGATCTATTAAAAACTAAGTGAATACTACTGAAATTAGAAGTAATTTTGCAAGGTAATAAAAATGCTATTTTAGAAAATCAGTTCTATTTCTAAAGTGGATACCCACAAAGAATATGAACTTGATAGTATCCCTGCAATCGTCTTTAAGAAAAGTGGTCCTGAACTGGCTCCTCTTCTTTCTAAATTCTACAATAAATGCCTTGCTGCTTCTTTCTTACTTTTATGAAATTCCTCTAAAGTCTTTAAGAAATCAGGCAAACCATCTGATCCTCCTATCAGCTTTCTACCTCTTTTTGACAAAGTACAAGTGGCTTTAATCAACTCAGAATTGATTAAGCATGTCACCTCAGAGGGTCTTATTTCAGATAAGCAATATTTCTTTTGATTTTCTAGGTCAACTGCTGATGTATTAAGTCATTGCTGAAAGAGTCTATGAAGTTTCAGATAAGAATAATAAAGCTCGAACTGTTGCTTTGGATATCTCAAAGGCTTTTGACAGGATTTGGCATGCTGGTCTCCTTCACAAATTGAAAGGTTATGATATTTCTGGACAAATTTCTGATCTGATTCAATCTTTCTTATCAAATCACCAAATAAAAATTATCTTGAATGACCACTCTTCAAGATCCTTTTGCATTAATTCAAGTGTCTCCCAGGGATCTATCTTAGGACCTATGTTGTCCCTAATTTTCATCAACGACCTTCCTGATTAATGCTCATCTGGTTAGGGTGGTTTAACTTATGATGTATGATATCTATTGTTTCCTTAGTTAAAATAAGCCTATTTGATCTTTCTTGAATATGTTAGTGACTATATTGAATATTTGTTTTAAGTACAATCAATTCTCCTATATCAGAAAACACTAATAATAATAGGTAAAACAAATAGGGAATATGAATTTAAAGTATTATAGTGTTAACCCAAAGAGTGCTTTTGTAAAAGTTAAATCGATCACATTCAAATTACTTTCTTGAACTTAAATTTACATAAGATCATAAGTTACTTCCCTTGAACTTCACAAAGAACAAATTGATTACATATTCTTCTATGTTCGATGTACCTTCAGAACCGGGACGATCATAGCTCTCTACAATTTCCTGTCCTTTGTAGCTCTTAATAATTTTTGTTATTTTTTGCTATCTCTCCTGTTCTACTGTTAAAAATTATTCCTTTTCAATCTGAGTAAAGTAGTTTAGGGGAAAGGAAGGTAATAAAATAAAATAATTAGTGAAACCTGAACCTGGCTTCCCTGCTTGCAAAGTTCCTTGCCCAAAAAAGTGGAGCGTGAGGTGGGGGGGTGTAAAGGAAAGAGAAAGAAAAACAGAAGTTTTTTTCTATTTAAAAAAAAAACAAAAAAACGTGATGTTTTAACCAATGGCTATACTAGGCGGTTGAATCTGAAATGCTTGTGTTGATTGCCAAAAATTTTCTGGTAAATCCTTACAATAGAATCATCAAGAGGAGTGGGAGATGCGACACCTTCCAAAACCTTGACAGAGGGTAGACTCAAAGAAGCAGATGCAAAACCAACTCCTCAACAATGTCTTGACAACCAAATTATCAATTGTCATTTTCACAACAGAATTAAGTCTTATTTTCACTAAAAACTTGTAACAAAATCGACATTTTCACGGCAGAGAACAAGTACTGTTCTCAAAATAACTCTATATCAAAGACTTTCAATGGATTCTGTTGTGAACTTTGACAACTCACATCAAATCACAAGAACTATTAACATTCACATTTTATATCTTCAAGGTAAATATTCCCTTTTAACTGGGTTTGACCTCACAAAACCCTTTTATTGTACCTTCTCACTTGTAATTTGCATTGTTTTGCACATACTGGCATTTTTCTTGTGATAATTCATGATTTTGATTGTAAACTTGATCTTTTTCCCAGTTGCTTGTCCATAAATTCTATTATCCCTTTTCCAGAATATTATGAATTCACAAATTTGATTTGTGCACTCCTAATGTTTAGTAAAAATTTATTTTATTTTAATAAAATTGTTATGGTTTTATATCTCACGTCATTTTTTCATGGTGCACCTTGTTGTCACTTGATTTCCAGTCTCCCCAATCTCTTAAATGAACACACAAAAAATATACATTAAGTTTTTGGGTTTTTTTTATACTACCAACCATTTACACAAGCTCATTAAATAGGTTATGCAATTACTTTCCCTTGTCCCTCTTGTCCTTAGTATAGCCTGTAAATGTCAAATTTTCTAAGCCCACTTTACTCATCATGCACCTGTTGTATTTGAATCCTCGTCACCAACTGTTGTATTGTGTGTTTTCGAGATAACAGAGGAAAATAAATAAGGAAGACAAACTTGTAGGTAAGTAATGAAACAGAAGGTTTACTACATGAAGGTACACTTAGCAAATGACCTAATGCTAACTTTGCTTACATAAACAGACAATTCCATTCATTTATGTCCTATATGACAGTACCCTAGAAATTTCAACTGTCTCTTTCCGTTTTCATTTTCTCTAAAACTTTGTTGTTGCTCACATGTTCATTATCATACTTCTGTAGATTTCTTTCTTCAAGTCTCTTCATCTGTGAGAAGGTTGTCTAGTATTCACTGCCATATAGTACTTTTTGTTTTGTTTTTTTTTTCTAATGAAATTTCCGTTTGTTAATACTTTGCTTTGTTTTTTGTTATCACAATGTGCCTTGTATTTTCCATCTTCTATTAAAACATTTTAGATATTTAAGTTTTTGTATTTGCTTGATTTTCGTGTTTCAATTTTTAATTTGTATATTGGGCTGTCTCTTTTGCTGACAACCTGTCTTGTCATGTGTGGTTGCCAATAATGAATAAGTCACATGAGAAAACACATCCTTATCTTATACCCCTTTCTATTTTTGCATATTTACTTAATTCATTTTCTATCCATGTGCAGGCAGTTTACTCACAGTGTCAGTTCTGGATTATTCTAACATATTTCCAAAATATATCAAGCTTACCTAGCAGTTCAGAAGTTTTTTGTAACATACAATCAAAGATTTTGGCATAATCTCTAAAACATCCTTTTCCATTTGTATTGCTCTTTCTGATATCATTCTGAGCATAAATACAGATTCCTTGTCCCAATGTTTTTAACAAAACCACACTGTTCTTTATCCTATTTCTGGTCTAATTTTGCTGCACACTATTCCTCAGAATTCAAATAAGTTTTCTTATGTGGCTCATTAGACTGATTGACCACTCAAGTTCAGATTTATTTGCATCTGGCTTCTTTGTCAGTGCTATGAAAATCAATCTACTTAAGTCTTCCAGTAGATCACCACTTTTGTATTTTTCATTTATTATGTCTGTAATCTTGTCAATGTTGAAATTGTTTAAGGCTGCCAGAATCTCTATAAAAATTCAATCTGATCCTGCTGCTTTGTTTCTGTTCAATTTGGACAGTGATGATTTCACTTCAGATTTAATATTTCTGGTCCTTTGATATTTCTGTGCATTGCAGGTTGCTCTCTTTCATCTGGAAATTTACCAGGTTTTTGAAGACAATATTTGAGAAATTTAAAACAAATTTTCAAGATTTTATAGAATTACTGGAAAAAAAGAAGAAAAAACAAGCTTCATATTTTGTTTATTATTATGCAAATTCGAATGCTACCAAGAAAGCAGAAGATTTGGTTTGGTTGTTTTGTTTAATGACATTCCAACCTTAGTGGTCACTTTATGCCGAAAATGATTTTGAGTGACTTTAAAAGAATCTTAAGTTAAATGTGTTTCTTGGTTTGAGTAGGCATCTTGAAGTAAGCAGCTTCATGGAGGTATACAGCTTGGTATATTTGTGTTTTATTTCAATCTTTTCTAGATTTTGCTATAGAGACCAGTTTCTGTTATATATTCAAGTATTTTTGAAGGTTTTACTTGGAGGAATACTTCTTTCAGGTTTGTTTCTTTGTAGTACTTTTGGCGAGTTCGCTTCAAGTCTAAACAATGTCAAAATGTGACATATTGTATAAGCCTCCCGACATGCTATTACAGATTGGAGCTGCTTCCTTCTTAAGGAGTAAGAATGGATGATGCTCGAGTGGCCCATACGGAGTCTTGGTAATGTTACTTGTTCTTTTCTAGTCATTTCAATATAGTCATTTATTTCTCCAATTTGTTCCTTTATTGCATGTAATTTGTTATTGGTGTAAGAATTCCATGATTCTTGCTATTTGTTCATTTGATGTTTGTTAATTGTTGCTATTAGGTCTGTAGTTTAATTTTATCTTTTGAGGGTTCCAGTCCTAGTGCTTTTTTTTTTTGCTGCCTGATCAGCTCTGTGATTCCCTTTATACTGATATGACTGGGTACCCAGCAGAAGACTATTTCTTTATTTTTAGTAATTACATCGATCATGTTTAGGATTTTGGTTGTTAAAGGGTTGTCTGTTTTTCTATTTTCCAATGCAGTTAGTACTGAATTCTTATCTGTAAAGATGATGTGTTTCTTTTCTTCACTGTTTTCAATTA